CACCACAATATTTGTCCTTTTCTAATCTTCAGGGGCATCACCCAACTTCTGCATGTTCTCAGAAAGAATAGTCAGTGGCTCTGCAATTATTTCAGTCAATGCCTTGAGTTCTTTAGGATGCATCGCATCTGCCCCGATAACTTACAAACCAAGCCTGTTAATTGGCAGTTATTCTGATGGAAAATGCTAAGTCCTACTAATTTGTTGGGTCCTATGTCATATTGGGACCCAAACACAAGCAGACAGGTGGGCAACCCACAGAGGGGAAATTTACCAAAGCTCTTACAGCCTGCCTTGACAATTTAGACCATAAGCTCTTTTGGGCAAGAATTCTTTGTTATTATGTTTTTATATAGCACATAGCACAGTAAGGTCCTGATCTTACTTGCAGGTTCCAAGCACTACTGAAATACAAATAATATTCAGCCTGAAAGCTGCTCACATGAATGTTCTGAAATACTGCCTTCACTTGGAGTGTAGCTAATGCCTGTTTATTCCTGAATGCATACATGATTTATCAGTTTAGTAAGTAAGCTTTTGTTTTGTGAATTATTCCTGCTCTTTTTTCCATTTATTTCCCATGTACTTCAATTGATCCAAAGCTTAGATTAATTTTTCTGGTAAATATGTAGAATGAAGTTTTTATTAGAAATAAATGAGCTACTCCTGCCTTCAACTTTAACTATTTGAAATGTACATGGCCAAAAGGAGAAGCTATAAATAACATAACCTTGTACATTCTGTCTCTGGGGCAAATGTGAATGATGATCTTGTCATACATGCCTGAATGAGGACTGAAACTGAGATGCCTCACACACATTAAAGTGTTTTTAAGATATTTGCAGAAAGTGGAATTATAGGCATACTATGCATATCACACTATGCATATCACACTATAATACTATGTAGTTCTTTAATAATAAGCAATGAATTAAAAAAATAATCTGTACAGGTCTTTGTAGCATGGTTAATAAAGGAACAGGTTTTTTTCCTATGAGATATATAATTTACAGAATGCTAAACATAAGCACTGTAAGACCAAATGAATTTGCTTCTGAAAATCAAACCACTTATTTAAGTTGCTAAGTATGGATTTAGAAATCTAAATGTAAGCACCTGTTTGAAAATCTCAGCTTAAGGACCTTTCAACTACAGACCAAGTGGTGGTAAGCGTAATAACATGTTTTAGTTACCTTCAGGAAGGGCTACTTAATTGTGGTATCCTTGGTACTGAAGACAAAACCCAAATGGTCCAACATGACAGGATAAACTGAGGAAATTGCATTGCATTAGCATTCTGCACAATGCACTGTTCTACCATCCTCTAGGTCTGGTTCACACTCCTGACAGTAACCTTTGAAGCTGACAATAGGTTAGGGCCTGGATGTCTCAGACACAATGAGTGGAATTCTATTTGGCTTTGTGTGTCTAAATGGCAATTTCCTAGCCATCTGCTTGGCTATTTTTGACCCTTGCTTTATGCAGTGACAGCCTAAGACCATGCATGTACACTGAGTATGCGTAGTGGGGCTACACACTAGCTGGGCACACACAGCCTACTTGAGCCTAAGTCCTGGGGGAGGAAGGTGGTCCCATGTTTTAGCTCCAATAAGTGAGTGGCTAGGGCACTTTCCCATGAAGCTGCAGATCCTTCATCTCTCTGACTTCCTAGTTTGATGCTCTGACCACCATACCATAGGCCAGATATTATCCAAACACCTTCTTTTGTGTTCTCATTGAGGCTGAGTCACTGTCACTCAGGGATTGGATAAAATGGATGGAGAGCAGTGCAGTAAGTTTCTGCCCCATTGGGAACAAAGTTCCAAGCTGGCCCCAAACTGATTCTGTGTGTAGGAAGGGTCATGGAGCAGGTGTGTATTCAGCCCAGAGCCAATTCAATACCCACCATGTGCTGTCTGGGGGCAACTCAGGACCCAAGGCCAGCACCAGGGAACAAATGATGCAGCTCTGCAGGCCAGACCCAGCCAGTGGGCTGGATCTTTGACACCCCATCAGTAAACAAGAGTTCTCAGAGCACAGAAATACAAAACAGTCTCCTTTTTGGTATTTCACAGTCGATGTGAAGTTCCTATTGGTATAAAATTGTTACCATTATAAACAGAAACACCTTTTATTTCAAGATTATTATAAAGACTAAGGGCTCCTATACATGTACAAGGAAGCTGCTCTGACACACTGTATAATTCCAGCACGTCAGAGCAGACTCAGTTAATGAAGATGGCTGGAGCATGGTCACTACCACACTCCAGTGTCATGTGTATCAGCATCCCCACACTGAAAAATGGCAGCGGGGTGCTTTAAACTAAAGCTCATTCAGCAAGCTATAAAGCTCCCCCTGCCCGTCCCCCCCACCTCCCGAAGCACATCTGTACATACCCTAAGTGGGTGGAAAAATCAGCATACAGCCCCAAACAGCCTATAATAGTAATTGGGGAATCAACTTGTTTGAACTGTGTGCAATAAACCAGGCTGCACAGATACTATATTTAAGAGTTATATAGGTCATTCATGTAGTTCAAACTAAAATTAGTAGAAAGTATGTATATAAACTCCAGCCTTTGGCGTCTTCAGTAGATTTAGTGTTTTTTCCCTGTATAGTAAAAGGTTTAAAATTAATCACTAAGGATTGTTAATGGTATTCTGGTAACTTTTATGGCCTGAATTTCTGGCACTGTTACACTAAAAGTTTCTGTCAGCGTTTCTATTTTTTAAAAAAAGGCTTTTTGTGGGTTTATACCACAACTGTAAAATATTACATCATGGTGAATCTTGGCATTGCATTCTGGAAGGAAAAATGTTTGACCATTTTTACTATATTTTTTGATAAAACAAGGGGAGGTTAAGCAGGCAAAACACTTTGAATAAGATACATTTTAGAGCTTTTTTCATCACAGTCCTGTTTTGATTCTGATCTTCAAAATGCAGCCTCAGGTCATCATGAATCTTATAAATACTGTTTAGATTAAGTTCAAGATATGCAGCAATAATATGCATTTTCTTATCAAAGATCAGAATTGGGCCTTTGTGCTACCTCCATTTTACCCTCATCCTCTTATCTCTGTTGGGTTTCCTCTCTTGGTATTTTATCTTCTTCTAGTCTCTTTTTTATTGTTTCTTCTCTTTCTTTCCCCCCCCACAAAACATATTGGCTGGGTTCTCCATGGTTCAAGCTAGTTGGAGGCCCTGAAGCAAGTAATTGTCTAAATATCTGATTAGTAAAATACAGTTCAGGCCACAACACAGTCACATGTACCACAGCTTGGTAAAAGATAGGAATCAGGGGGCTGCTGCATCTTCTTTAAGGTCTTTAAACAAATCACCTACAGTAACTGTATGTAGTGCCTACTATGGACTATGAACAGAGCTTTAGGTTCTACTGTACCATAGATAAATATGCACATTTTGAATCTAATTTATTAGTGGTTGGGTTACCTACATCCCAAGAACATTAGGTAGATACGGAAAATGTAGTTTGATCTTCCAGTGCAACTTTGTAGCATAAATACAAATGATAATTAATAAAATGTATTTGGACTTTAATTCATAATAACTGTGTTTCTGGATAATCAGTTTTTGACTGTATATGTTTAAATGAAACAATGTCTCAGACATATGCTTTGCATATTTATGCCCAACTAAAGGGTTAATGAGGTCTCAGAATGTATATGTAAATCAGCTAAGCTAGAGTCTGTGAGCTACTGTATTCCTATGGGCTATGAAATCCTGAAACACTCAGATGAGATGTATTGTGGCATCTATAGATCTAAACAACAGTTACTGCAGAGCAGGTTGAAATTGCTTAGAAAACTGTTGGTATCTGAGTTTTTTGCAAGACTGTTAGACTGCTTTCTTGATTTCTCATTAGCTGTAAATCTTCCCATGTTTAAATAGAAGAAAAGGAAATCTAGGCCTATGCTTTGTGATTTGATAATACATGATGATTAACTTTACTCACTTACTGTAACTAATTTATGCACATTTCCTAAAGATTTTTAGTACTGTGCTAAAGCATATATCTGCTCATGCAATAAGAAGTACCTAAATACACAGTGACAGAATAAGTATCATTGCAGTATTTCATGTCCTGTCACACTGATCCACAGATAATGGGATTCTGGGAAACCACTGATAAGAGGTCTTCCCTTATGCACCAAATTATCTTGGTTTCTCCCACAACAAAACTAGCAATAAAACTGTCCATTCCCTCTCTACCCTTTTGCAAAGTGCGTCTTGGCCAAACTGGAGATTGTTGGCTTTGAATTTCCTATTTCAGTTCAGGAAAGAGCATTTCCTCAGTCACCTTAAACAATCTTTTATATGACTTACTCCAAACACAACTCTGTCCTTGGTGTCAGTTTTCTTTGTAGTGCTTTTTGTTTTGTTTTTTAGGGAATATAGACTTCAAATACTCTGTGTTCTGATATGCACACAAAACCCACATTCATTGGAGCAGAAGTACTATGCATTCATCCAAATGTGAAATTTGGACCCAAATGCTATAACTAAAATATATTCGTTTCTAAATTATGTTAGTCTTCAGCTCCAAGTATGTTGCCTATTATAAGCAACAATGTATGGCAGAGTAAATTTCTCACAAACACATAAACTTATGCCAATTGTATTTTACAATCACCTGGGCATAGGTAGGCTCCCAAGTATATTAAACCCTGCTCCTCAGAAAAGAAAAGAAGTATTTCCCTTCAGTTGTTTCTCCTTGTAGGAATGCTGCTGCTAATTCCCTCAGTTTTTCATCCTTTCTTAAAAAAATAGTGTAGGAGAGAAATATTAAATACTTTGCAAAAGATGGCCTGTGTACATCACGCACAAGTGTACAAGCGCAAGTACAACAATCAAGCTCCATCACTTTTCCTTTATAATGTGATTTTATTTCATAGATTTCATATACATTAGGGCTGGAAGGGACCTCAGGAGATCATTGAGTCCAGCCTCCTGCCCCAGGGTCAGGAAGCAGCTAGGGTCAAAGGATCCCAGCAAGATAAGCATCTGAATGTTTCTTAAAAGAGTCCAGAGTAGGTGCTTGCACCACCTCTGGAGGGAGCCTATTCCAGGCCTTGGGGGCTCGGACAGTAAAAGGTGAAAGGTACAATATTAGAAGGCAATAGACCACAACAACAAAAAGTTTATTCCCCTATGCAGTACATAGTAGATTAAAAAGCTACAAGCAAATTTCCATACTTTTTCCAGCAGTGTGAAACTTGATCTTGACTTCTACAGGCAAGAGTCCCCATGATGGTTACTGGGGCTCACAGACTGACAGTTGATGCCAAAGGTCCACTAGAAAATAAACCAAAAAAGAAACTTACTTAGGTAGGCCACAAATCAGCTCTTTTTATCACTATTGTAATCTTGCCAGATCTGACCCCAACATTTTCAGAAACACTGTCCTGATTTCAGTTGGATCCAACTGAATCCAACTGAATTTGGCACATTCAGTGCCAAATGACCAATAGCTTTTTATTTATTTATTTTTGAACATCTGGCATGGCTTTTAGAGACACTTTTTTGTCTTAATATCTTTTATTAGAATGAAAGATGAAGTATAAAGGAACAAATGAGGAGAGAAAAATGCAGTTTATTACAAGGCATAATAAGGATAAATTGACAATCACTGAATCAGTCCCTTTTTTCCTCCCTAAAAACTAAATGTAGCAGAATGTTAAAGGACATTTTTCCCTGTGCTCCCTGAATATTCCACAAAAACTAGACACAAGAGCTTTGACCAATAAAAATGGTATCTATCATATTTAGAGGGAAGGAGAAAAGTCAAAACTAGCACTTCATTTCAGTAACTTTTTTATTAATTGGAGGAATTTGTTAGGACATGCGTAATTTACTACTCCTGGAACTGATTCTTCAGTTCCAATTTGTTCCTGGACAATTTACATGAGTAAAGGCCCTTGACAAATTATTTAGAAATTAAAATTGAACTAATAAAAACAGCGCATACCTAAAGTGTAAACCAGTTTAAATCTTAACTTATTTCAGAGTGCCTCAGTAAATTATACAAGTGTACATTTCCTTCATACTTCAGTGACTATGTATAAGCCCATACAGCAAACTGCAGACCACATCTGAATTTGATATTACGTTTCCAAGAGACTGAGAGGGTGCTTGTATGCATGACGATTTTTCCATGTACACACAATGCAAATCACCGTTTGTGTAGCTTAATGGCGTCACCATATACACATGCATGGGGTTTGGGTGTCTCAATTTGTCCCACATCATGACAAACTAGACTACATCCCAGTGTAGTTTAGTTTGACACGTGGCAAACTATCCCATTGTGGCCAAAAGTCTGTCGTGTACATGGCAACTCACTAAATTAGGTGTCCTGTGCCCCCTTGCCCACCAGGTGCCACTACAATCTGCAGGTACATGCAGGTAATTTGCAGTGTAATTTGGGGGTATTCTGTGTAATGAATGTTTTAGCACACCAGGTGTAGCTGTAGAGCCCAACACAGATCAATCTTCTGCTGACCACTTTTTTTTAGTTCATTAAATAAATTAATGTTTTTAATAGCACTGTTGCATTATACATCTGGTTTATAAAGATCACAGGTATGTGAATTTAGAGTATTTCAAACAAGATAGATAAAGCTTTGTATATTTGTTGAGTGTTTGCAATATATATATTGCCTGCAGTACATGTGAAATACTGTATTTATATGATCATGATTCACCGCTCTAATTTTTGTCAGCTGCTAGTTTCTAGCCTGCCAAGTTTCACATCTGGCAGTTTTGTACAATATTTAGATTTGAAATCAGTATGTGGTTTGTAATAACTACAGAAATAAGTTAAAAGATCCCAGGACATTATTTATTTTTAATATGCTTTGACAATTTGCTTTCCTAAGTCACTCACATGAATCCTTTTTTGTGGGGCAGCTTTTTAATTTTGCTGTTTGGTTTCACCACACTAGCTTTACAACACTGAAATGAAACACAGACTAGTCCATCTTGGCCACAAGCATTTGTACTATCAGTTATTACCATCTTGAAACGCTAGCATTTAAATATTACTTGAAAACATGTTTTTTTGCTACGAGAGGGGAAAATGTATATCTCTTCTGATTTAATACTCTCTCTACTGGAACCACATTCATATTAACATAATAATAGAATGAAATAGTAAAATGGACCTATTATAAAGTTTTTCTGTCCTTTGTTCTTCCTTCCGTGTTTTCTTGTGATGGCCCTGCTGTCACGTAGCTTCACTGGTTGGGATTTACTGTTTCTTTCTTGCCTCTGTATTTGTTTATCTGAATCTGATATAGTCAAACAGAATCTTTTTTACAAATATTACTGTCATTAAACAACGTTCTTTATCACTCTTTGCATTTACCACTTGTGGCATTAAAAGTACCACCTATAGTGCTAAGGTAAAAGGCATACTTGCTGCTTTCTTCAATGGCTTTGATATCCTAATCCTTGAAATTTTAAATTATTTTCACTTTAACTTCAGTCGTGAACTCATTTAAAATGTAAGCTAAATTAAAAATATAAATAAATGTAGCTGCTATTTAAGCAGTCCAGATGACAGTGGGAAAAATAACTTCAGATTCTGAAAACCCTTCAACTAAAGTGAGTATTGAAGTGCTTTACATATGGTTGTTATATAACTGATTTAAACCAAGGCCTCTGAACATGAAATGTGAGTAAAGTTCTCTGATAATATCTGTATAAGGCCTTGCTCCTACTTATTTATTACTTGCTTTTATGGTAAAGTTAGAGGTTTTCCAAGATCAGTACCTTATTCTTCTAGGAACTGCAAGCTGTGTGGAAAAAGCTTACAGCCTAAATGATATTACAATATCAGTCAGTGGCAGAGCTAAGATTAAACCCAGGCCGCCACTGTTCCCATCCCATTACCCTGCCTACTTGACCATTTGAGCACTCAATCTTGCCAGGGACTGTACAAGTAGACCCTGGGGCCCATGTACCCCATTATCTTTAATGGGACGTTAGGAATAGGGGCTGCCTGTGGAGAGTCACTTGTAGAATTAGGTCCTGAAGCTGAAAAAATACTGTAAATATTCTAGAGACAGATAGGCATATTAGTACAGAGATAACAATTAGTGATTGTATATATATGAAATAAGTGGGCCTAATTCACTGATCCGTGAGCACAGGGCCAAGGTAACTCTGATTTCAGTCGGCTCTGGCTTAGCAGTGTGGGGGCAGGACAGAGAATTGCCAGTGGCACATGACCAGCAGTTTATTGTTGCTGGGGGAGATGTCACCTCCCTTTTGTTGCCAAACACTACTGTTTTGGCCATTCAACACTCATATCAGTTGCAAAAAAGGAGGTGATACCTCAACTTGCAGCAGTGAACCTTTGGCTACTGCATCATATACTGCCGCTGCACAGGGTACCATGCCAGCCAATTATGCCTCTGCAAGGAAGGTATTCATATATTGAGACTAAAGCACCTTCTACAATACATTTCCATTCTAACAGCTACCAGCCTTCAAAGATATTTGAGAAGAAGGCAGGATCCAGGAAAAGAAGGAAAATGAGCTACTCATTGAAACACCTGCACTGTGTTGAATTTTAACCCTCTTTCTCTTATAAAGAAAGAAAAATGCAAAATACCAACCCTAGCAAAGTGTCCACCGGTGTTTAGTATCAAAGATGCCTCTCCACATTCTAAGTGGTCCTTTTTGCTTAAAAAAAATAATTCATGTCATATTAAATCAGATGAATGGTGCCATTATACTGAGGGTTCATTCTGGCACGTCAGCTGTATCTGCTGCAGTTTGCTCATCCACCCTAACCAATATTTTTTGATACTGCAACCTTTCCTATCTGCTAAAGTGATTACATTCCCACCAAGTTTTCATAGTTTCATAGTTTTTTAGGGGCTGGAACTTAAATGATAAGGGAAGAAAGTTCAGTGGTGTAAATGACTATTAATACTTTGACTTTGTTTTGACTGAAGGGTCAGAGTTAAGACTGGCTGGCTGCCTGACAGTTCAAGCCATGCTAATTAATTATGATACTCAAGGCTGAGTGGAAAATTAGCTGGTATTTCAGCAAAAAAGCATTTTAGTTTGAAATGTATTTTATTTTTTGTTCTATAATCCCATTGGGCTGGTTACATCATGGATAGTTTGTATACTCCTATGAAAATTTAATCACTGGATTATATAATAGTTTAATTATTGTATTTTTCAGCTAAAAATATTTTCACGCAAACATCTGGTAATTTGAGAGAACTATTAACTGTGTTAGTTTCAAGTCAGGCAGAAAGCAGAGAAGGATAACTCAAAAAGGAATTGTTTTGGTGAGCTTAGTTAGAAGCTTCCTACATTTGCTTTCCTTGGCAGTGAATTTTAAGTGATGGACGTCCTAGCAACTATTATGTAAGAAATAGTAGCTAATACACATTAGAAACACTATTTTTCAGTGTTCTTTGTTAGTTGTGAATCCTATTAAATCACAACATCATTGCAAAACTACACAAAAGATGTGGTTTTCAAAGCATAATTCACTTTTGTGAGAAACAGTAGCTGAGACCTGATGTGGTCCTATGGCCAGAACACTGGGCTGAGACTTCTGAGACTCAGTTTTTCTGTGTGTCTGCTAGGAGACCTTGGGAAAATCATTTCAGCTACAGACAGAAATTACACATAAACTGGTATAAGTGGTTGGAAACTGGTTCAAATCTGTAACACAACAGAACACGTACACTGCTTCAAAATGGCCAAAAACAGTTTAAGATAAACCTGGATGGATTTAGTATCAAATTTCACTGATTTAAGTGAAATTGGTTTACTGAAATTATGTCCCAGATCCCCTCCAGATTCAAGTTAACACTCTGGGTGCAGACAGAAGAGCAGCTCCCTATTGCAACTTAAGAACGCTCTGCAGGAAGCGCTATGAGTTGCAATGATGCGTTGCCTCCGGGAGTTGGGGATTCCAGCTGCTGTCTGAGAGTCTGCAGCTCGGTCTCCATAGCAACACCACTCCTCCCTCCCAATCCAGACACTGTTTTCAGAATGAAAATTATAGGAACTGAGGAGGAGGAGAGAATAGGAGAGGGAGGGGATTCTTGGGAGGGGGCTCTTCCCAAGCCAGAGCTGGAGAGTGGGGTTGGTGGATTGGAGCCACCCCCCCCACCCCAACCTGGGGGAGAGTCCAATCCACCTGCCCCACCCTCCAAGACCAGCTGAAAAAACCCCAGACCAAACTCCTTCTACTCCCTTCCCTCACCTCCCATTCTGAAAACAGCAACAGGCTGGGATGAAATGTGTTCATCTGAAACCTCATGCAATGAGGATTCAGCTTTTTGTAGGATCAGGCCCTTTTAAAGCAGTCTGCAGCCATGCACTTCTGTTTGGTCACAGCTGTAGAGCACTTTCTGGGGTCAGATCAGATGAAAATCAACATTTCTATGTATGCCCACAGTACCATAGCATCCCAGGAAGCTTTGTACCTCCCCTGCAAACCCCTCTCACAGGGTAGGCAGGCTAGCCTTGCCCCAAACTGTCTGCTCCAGCTGAGCAGGGAGGCGTACTCTAGTGCCCCCCTGGCTTCTGGCCTGAGCCACTACAGACATGTGGATGCATTTCCAGAATCAAAAGTGAATGTCTGTTCACTTGCTCATTGAATCAATCTATACAGTTTAAACTAACCTAAGATTAAATGGATTCAGCCTAAGGCTTTTTGACTTTCAGCCTTCATCTCTGTATCTTCCTATTCCCCATTTACAAAATGGGAATAAATATACTGACCTTCTTTGTAAAGCACTTTGTGATATTCTGATGAAAGGTGATTCAGTAAGAGCTATTTATTATGACTAAATGCAAGAATTGCAACAATTTCAAGCAGTTTGGAAATACCTCTAATTAGGCTATAAGTAATCCTAGAAGGTGGCTAAAGAAATCAATTTCCAAACTTAATTAATCAAATATAAATCTAACTTCTATATATAAACTGGGTCAGAGAATAAAGCCTGAAGCAATAAGGACAAGCTAAGGAAGATGTAGAGCAGGTTAACTAAAATGTGATGGGCTAAATTACTCTTTTTAAGCTGTAGAAAGCTTTTTTCTTAATCTCAAAGGGTCGTGCACTTATTGTCACAAGAGCTGGATAATTCTGCTCTGAATGAGTGTGTATAGCTCCCATAGAAGAGAATTGATGTTTGAAGGCAACAAGAGTAGTTAGAGCCTGATCCAAAGCAGGGATCCTGGTTTTCTCTGATTAAAAAATCTCCAATTTTTGGATTAAAAGTACTCCAAAATCCACATTTTCCATGATTAAAATGAAACACCATTATATATCTATCTAACTATTAGTAGTGTTTCGGTTTAGTCACAGAAAAATGTGGATTTTGGGTTAGGTTTTTTAAAGTGAAAATTCGGGATTGTTTTAAATCAGAGAAAACCAGGATCCCTGTGTATTACTAAAATCAGTGGAAGTCTTCTTTGAGTAAGGAGTGTTGAATAAGATACTTGGCATACTTCACAAAGCTAATTCTGGATGAAGGGGAGGAAGGAAGGACTTGTGACTAAAATGAAGTACAAGAGGCACATCTACACGTGATTAATGTACACAAATAAACTCCAGAGCTTATTGCCTGGGAGCAAATAACTCCAGAGCATATTGCTTTGGAGTTTATTCATGCGCAGCACATGGAGCCTGGTCAAAGCAGCCTGGGCTCGCAGGGAACCCTGGGGGTCAGCCTGCCAGCCCAGTGCTGCTTCAACCAGGCTCCACGTACTGTGGAGGGGCTAGCAGAGGCACAAGAGTGGTTCAGTGTGGGGTTAGTCGGCAGGCAGCCTCTGTGCTGAAACTCCTTGTGCCTTGGCCAGCTGCGGCAGCATCTACACATTCACTGCTGTGCATGAAATACTCTACAGCAGGTTAAAACTAGTATAGAACTCCTAACCTGCTGCAGAGTTTATTAGTTTTGTGGGCCCTAATACGGGCACATGTGTAGATGCTGAGATGTTTACTGTGCAGTTAATTAGTCAACTGTGCAGTAAACGTCTTGTATAGATATGCCCAAGAAGTTATAATTATATGCAGGCTTTACCTTATGTTCTTTTGTTTGATCTAAGGCAAGTTGTTTAATTCTTTTGGCTTCCCCCCTTGACAAATGTTTGGTAGAATTTAATAGAAAGGCATACCCTTGCTATGGAATTCTATGAGATGCTTTTTAAAAACCTCTATAAAGGTACCATTACAAGCTACAAGTTGGAAGCTTCTATGAACCCGTCTGGTTTTACTGTTATTACACTGAATAGAACTTTTCCAAACATACAATTTATGTGTTTTTAAATAAGGTTAAAAATTTAACTCCCCCACTAGGGTATTGGAAAGCTGGAAGTGTGATTCTGCTCCCACTGAAATAAGATGCACACCTCCCACTGCAGAATCAAATCCTTAATGTAACGATGTTTGTTAAACATTTTTGAGAACTTCTGATGCACGAACAACATAGCTGCAGCTGCTTTCATTTCAGTTGCACACAGCCTCGCTATTAATCTCCTGTACAGTTTCCACATTCCCCATGTGAGCAAAATCAATATTAATGTACATATTACATTAATGTAATATATTGTTTTATATTACATAATATAAAACAATTTTTTGAGTACACTAGTTAACACATGCTTTCTTTATGGCTAATTTTATTAGCACATATGACATCTATTTATTATTTTTCTTGCATTGAGTATTACATAGCCATTAGAAAATTAAGCTAAGAGTTTATTAAAGGCATGCAGGAAGTGCTGGAAAGTCAGAAAATGCCAGTGCCAACTCTACTGCTACACTGTATGCATTTGTGACAGGGGGCCGTCTTCGGCTGCATTTTTTTTTTTTTTAAATATGCCGGTAAGTGTGCCCCCATCAAGTCTTGCTGGATTTTTCTTTTCTGGGGATCAGCTTCGCCTGCCACGACTTGATTTTACTTGGTTCTAAAGAAAGAGGGAGGCTGACCCACAGGTTCCCAGACAGGCCCCAGACTCATTACCCACAGGATAATGAGGTGTTGCCTTATGGGCAAAAATGCATACTCCTACCTCCCCCATGCCTCACAGATGGTTTTATAAATTTCTCTTTATGTCAGGGTCTCAGCTACTGTGGGCTTATCCCCTCTCTCTCTAGCAAGGCCTGTCAGTCAAAACCCACTAATCGGGGCTTGACTCCAAGGCTCTAGCTCTCTAATTCACTTGGGCTCAAAACCCTCCGTTCCATGCTCTCCATGACACCAGGCCTACCAGCCCTTCTATACTGTGGCACCAAACTGTTGGGGCCTCAGCCCCCTTTAGCTTTGCCCCTCTTTCTGTAGTTAGGGCCTTTTGTCTAAGTCCACCCACTAGGACCTGGCTTCAAGGCTCCTATATCTCCCCTTCAAGCAACTTTGGGCTCGTGGCCTTAGTGCAGCACCCCTAGTGCAGCAGGGCTTCTTGAGCCCTCTATCACGGTGCCCCTTGGCGCTAATGAGGCCTCCTCCACCCCTACAGCCTCAGCCACAAACCACCAGCGTTTTTAACATCAAACGTAAACCATAGGCTCCTATGGCCATATAATGAAAATAATAATAAAGAAATAAGAGAGGCAAAGTGCCTGCTTACTTTATGTGATTGTGCTTCTGACTCACAGCGTGGCATAATCTTCCCAAACAGGCTGCTGCAGCTGCACCATAGTTATCAGG